TGGTGGGGTCCACCAGACGCTGGCCGTAAACGAGTGTACGACCGTACACGGGTTTACAGCCGTAAACTCAGTCAAGGCGAAAACCGACGTTTTGATCGATGGATAATTTCGAGATTTCGTGAAGTTTTGGTTCCGACTCATATAAAAATTTAATTATATAAAACTAGATGATTTTCTAAAACAAGAAGTTTGACGGAAACTTAATAAAATTCAATTTTTATTAACGGAAATCGTATAACAGAAACGGAAAAAATTTCGGGTTGTCACAGAAGATGCACAAGTAATTTTGCAGATGGCAAAGGTGGAGTACAGATAGAAAAATAACGATGTTGATTTTCCAAACGAACATGCTTGGGATATTTTAAAAGATGTCCCATTTTTTAAATTATGTATTTTGTTATTCTTATGTTTAATAAGGTTATGGTACTTCTAAATTATATTTTTTCTATCTTTGTAATATCTAACAAATATTATGACGATAATAATATTTTTCATTAATCACTCCAAAGATCGACTACAAACATAATTAATTGCGATTATATAGGCAATAAAACGAACATCAATGGGTCTGGTGTTTCCCATTCAGATGGAGGGAGAAAAGGGTGCACATTTTGCGTGATGCTGCAATAGCATGACTGCACACTATACCCAAACTGCGTCATTTCCCACATGAAGTTGTATTAAAATAAAAAACATAGAAAATGTCGCCCGGGAACGGAGACGGGATCTCGGGCGGGATTTTTTTGCTTGCCACCGAACATACTTTTGCATCCTCTCCTGAAGCACCATCTCCGCATACGGGATTAGTATGCTAGTGAACCTCCCTAAAAAGTAAATATTATCATTTATAGTTATTGTATAGGTAAAAAAAATTCAATACTTTACAGTATTTTACCTCCCATGAAACCGCGTTCAACAAAAATCCGTTGAATATAGTCACGAATTGCCTCGATTACCGTTATTATCAGTACATTACATTAATTAAGCGATAACACCAACATAAATTTTTGCATATCAATTTTCAGTACATTCCAATGGATATTAGGAAAATAGGCTCTTGCCCATTTCGCATGACCGATGTTGACAAGCACCTCACGTGCATCATGGGTTAGCTTAAAAAAGTTTTGCTCAAAATCAGACATAGTATATGAGTTGGATGTCATATATAATAAAGGCTCTAGTGTTCTGTTTCCATCAACTCTTTTGTGCATATACATGAACACACTTTTACAAGTATACCCATGCATGATAAGAATGAGGGAATACCTGACCTATGTAAGAACTAACTACATTATCCATATTGGTTATGAAAGATACTTACCTAGCCACTCCGAGTGTTTCGTTTAACTTCATCATAAGGAACCAGGTACAAGAGTTGATATTATTTTCCACGGCAAGACCACATGCTATAGTGAGGTTCTGGTTGTTCTCGTCGATAGCAACCGCTACGAACATTGCGTTTAGGTAGTCCCTCTTAGACGGACACTACCTATGAAGATGACAGACAACAAGCAGCCTATGAATTTGGGAACACAAAACAATTAGTTGAGATGTAGAAATATTCTGAATTTTAAGGAAACAATAGAAATATGGAATATATATATATATATATATATATATATATATATATATATATATATATATATATATATATATATATATATATATATATCACACATCCAATAGCCACAAAACAAGCTTGGAAACGATCTATCACATCAGTTTTGATGTGAGTGTAAGTATGTGGTTTGGTTCGCCTAAGGTTGTGTAGGTGAACAGACATGTTGTTAAAGTTTTCTTCGTGCGCACTCTCTAAGAAACCCATCTTGAAGTTGTTATAAGAGATAAGTACGGATGATCGAAAGTAAACGATTAAGTACATGCGGACACATATATATGTAGGGGACAAAATTTGAGTTTTTTTAATCCGGAATAACAGTTCGGAACGGGTCTTCGGGACGTGTGTCTATGACTCTGTGTTGTCATTTCAAAATACGAGCCTGACAATTTTACATATATCCTTGTTTCGGACATTGGTATTCCAGAATGTAAGTCGGGAGTGTACGAAGATTCCTATTTCCGACCAAACCTTTGGAATGAGTACCCGTGCTCTAAGATGCTCTATTCCGGGCAAAGTGTGGTCAGCAAAGCTCCGGAATGAAACCCTGACTCCGGAATGCTCTATTGTGGAGAAAGTGGTAATTTTCAAAAAAAAAAATTAAGTTGGTTATTATTATTAAAATACTTGTTTATATGAGTTAGTTTACTCAATTTCCCTTTAATTAATTTGTTAATGAAAGTATAACTTCATTCTTATGTTTATGTTGGTTTTTGTTTAATTTATGTGTAGGATCATAAATAGTTGGCTAATATGCAACAAAGCTAGGGGTGTAAAAAAAAAACTAAAACTGAAAAACGGAATCGAACCGAATGATGTTTGTTTTAGTTGATTTAAGTTATTCCGTTTTTGGTTTATTTGGTTTGGTCAACCAAATAAGTATATATGGCTGCGTAAATCAAATGAATACATGGGTAGTAAGAATCTGGCTTTGCTATGTCTATATATTTGTTATATGTTTAACACTAATAAGAACCTCACTTTGCTTTGTTATATATTTAATAGTTAAGGTTTTTTTTTCTTTAATACATAAAGATTTTATGGTTATTAATTTATTTGATTTAGTTTTTTAATGTTCTTGTTAATATGTTTACACATTATGGCCTTGTTGTTTTTATTTAGTTTAACTGATAAACCGACCCGAATTAACCGAAATTGATTATACTGAATGTTATTTGGTTTGGTTATTGTTAATTTAGAGATGCTTAAAAACAGACAAAACTAAACCGATTAAATTAAAAACCTATAAACAGAACCGAATAACACCCCTAGGCAAACCAATATTTTGACTCGTTTATTTAGTCACTTCATTTGATGGGACACATGTGAGTTTGAATCATGGATTCATCATTGTTGTATTTTATCATACTTTTTACAAATATTACCCATTTAGCCTATTATATTGACGTTCATTGGGTTTGCGATTGACGATTGGTGACAATTTTGATGATTGTCACATCATGTATGTATATGTGTATGTATGTATGTGTGTTGGTATATTAAATATCACATGCATATATAGATATTAATATGAGAAAGCATAGAATGAGTAATAGGTTACAAGGGTGTAGACAATTATGCATGGTGATGAAACCAAGAAGGGTTGTTAGAAGGGAGGACCATCAATGTTAACAAAACCATCCATGGGGACCGGCCGACCGGTGGTGTTATTTTGGCATAAGTTGGAGCAAAACTATTATTTCATGTAAACCACATGAACCAAGACTCTAATTTACTCTATAATCTTATATCATCAACATGGTGGGTGGACGAAATCGAGTTGGCATTGGTACCGGCGGTGCCTAAGTGAACACCACTTCGCCGAGGCTAGTACCGCTAGCTAAGTTTGAAGCCATTATGGACTTATGGTTTTTTAATAAATAAATAATTATATGTAATAACAAATTAGACTGGGAAAAATTACTATTTATCAATTTGCCAAATTGGCCAGCTAATTGAAAGACTCAAGCCCATGTGAGATGTGATTTTCATGTGAACTTTGCAAAAGATTCACAATAGCTTTTGTGGCAGCTTTAGCCTTTAGTAGGTTAATTTTGAATAAAATAGGGAGTAAACTATATTTCTTTTATACATTTTGATTTTCAGTACATAACCTTATTTAAAAACTAAGAACTTGAGGTGTTTTGGATGTTTGGTGAGGTCTGGAAACATTGCTGACACATTGGCTGTCAATGTAATTAAATATTTCTTAATTTTTGTGGATCTATTCTTTTGTTGACCATTATTATTATTAAGGGTGTACGCGATACGGCTTGATGCGGTTTAGAATCAAAACCGCAAACTGCACCGCATGTGCGGTTTCAGAATTTCGAAAACCACAAACCGTACTGCTAAGGTTATAACCCGCGTTATGCGGTTTGGTGCGGTGTGGACGATTTTAATGTGGTTTTCGGTTTAGAATATATGCTCGAGAGTATAGAGAAAAGTAGATTTTGTTTTTGGTTTTTGTGGTTCTATATTTACATAAATAAAAGAACTCATTTTTTGGTACCTGATGTGTCATCGAGAAAGAGACACGAGGTATAATTTTTTTATGAGGTATAATTTTGTTGTCTTTCTCTTTTCTTGTGTACATATCAAGAAGTTAAAATAATAATAATAATAATAACAATAATAATAATAATAATTGACATTTATTAATATTATATATAATTTTATAATTAAAGAAACAATCAAGAATAATAATAATAATAATTGACATTTATTAATATTATATATAATTTTATAATTAAAGAAACAATCAAGAATGAAGAAGTTATATATGAGAACTAACCTATCTTCTAGTTAAAGATTACAATTATGTAATTTTTTAAGTATGAAATTTATGATTAATTACACCCATTGGATTGATTATAATCAATACTTCGGAATCGTTATAATTACATTTTTACGTAAATTAGTAATACTGTGCGTTGTGGTTAGAACTGCGCTTTTGTAATCATAAACCACAAACCGCACCGTATATTGCGGTTTATAAAAACAACAAACCACCGAGAACATTGAAAACCGGCGGACGCTTTGTACGGTTTGACGCACACCTCTGCTTATTATTTACAATTTATCTTTTTCTTTTCCATTGCATGGGTTGACGAGACATCACTGTCAACGGTAATCTGTCTAAAACACATTGCTGAAACTATAAGAGTAGGAGGAGAGCAGGTTGTCTAGATTGTTTTCGTATATAAGTTTCATTACTTTAATTAGAAAATAAAAAACGGAGAAATGGAAACTAAAATGATATCAAACAGTTTACATGGCATTCGAGGTGTGTAACCAATTGATTGTTTCAAATTTTGTTTGAAAATGAAACCAAAAAATACAGCCTGATCCGATTATTAGTAATCGGCTAACATATACATTTTCAAACGTTTTGGACATATGTTAGAAACTCTTTGTCCTTTTGAAGAATGGCTATTTCTTCTTCCGGTAGATGAACAAGTGCTGAAATACCATCTCCAGATGGGGTATCCATTAGAATGAGAGTCTTCTCCTCCACATCTGGAATTCGTATTGTTACTTCTACTGGCTTTCCCCAACCGAAATCCACTTCATAAAAAGGAAGCCTACATGCGCTTGAACTATAGTAAATATCACCCTGTAAGGTTGAGAATGTGTTTAGCAACTTTTTAACTACTTCTTCCTCATCTCTTATCCCTTCGAGTTCCATTTTTCCTTTCCTTATCTCAGCAATCAACTCGTTCAACCTTATTTCACCTGAATCAGCCATCTTTGATATTGCCAATGTAAAGAAGTTGCCTACCGCTGTTTCAGGACTTTTTTCAAAAAAATTCTTCCTCAAGCTCACTGCTACAGACAAATTCGATTGCTGTGTAGAACCTGACTTTATTTTCGCTGCACTCACTGCGTGTTTGAATAGTAAAGCTGTCAACACTTCGACTCGAGTAGCATTGGTTGGAGCTGCACCCATTGCAATAACCTTCTTCTTCAGCTCATTTAGTTTCGAATTCCCAAATACAAATATGCTCGTACCATAGTTGACTTTATCCTTAATGTCTATAACATCGAATTTAGGCGCGATGATATTCTTACTTGTGGTGGATGAAATGAAATATGGGTTTTTTGGTGAGCCACAACGGGTTACTGTGGCCCAATGGTCGATGAAGTTGGCTATCGTCCCTGCATCAGCAAGCTTGTGTGATATAGACAAGGCCACAGCGGCTCCACCACCAGCAAAATGGTTAAGCTGGACCTCGAGCAACTTAGGGCACGAAGCACGAGCGCTACAACTGAGACCATAAGGAAAGAGCTGATCTATCGTTTTGTCTTGCTTGTTCTGATGAATGAAGTCATCGAGTGGGCTATCATTAGAAGCTTCCAAGAACTCAACTCCTTCGTCATTGCAGTTGATGTAAGGCGCAGGAGGTGTTGGAAGCCTACCCGCAAAAGGGTAGAACTGTGTTAAACACTGTGATAACGATTTCTTCAGGATGTTGGTGTCACCGTTATTGTAGTTTCGATAGAAGAAAACTATTGGTGTGTGCATGTCAGGAGCAAACTCATCAAGCAACGACTGATTATGAATTTTGAGGCGTGGAGGTGTTGGGGAAGATGGTTTAATGGTTTCTTGAGATATGATTGTGTGAAGTTGCCTAATCCTTCCAAATCTTTGGTGCTTTGCCATGATCTTGATCATTGTTATTGGCAAGATGGCAAGTAATTAATATATATGCAATGTACACATGTATGCATGTTTATATATATATATACTACGTTTGTGTTGATTTTTATCGAGGTACGGTTGCTTTTTTTAAAATTGGGATAAACTTCTCGAGTGTGATAAAATAATTATACGATCATTTATAACGTGGAAAAGTTAGAGCATAAATGGATTCGGTTTGCACGTTTCATTTTATCTGAATACGCCTTCGAAAATTCATGTTTATTGTTCTTACTTTTTCAAGCCCACCTGTCTTGATCTTGAACATTCAGCAATGGATGCGCCTAAACTACTACTTTTTGACACTTTGATTTAAATTCACTCAAAATATGATATTCATCTAAAAAGATGTAATTTTTTTTTTTTTGGGATTCAGAATTAACTTTTATGTTATGTAGCTGGAATGTATATTTACGTCATTATCCCGAAAGATGAGAACTCCCAGACGCAACCATAGATTAATCGTCGTTTGAAATTTATAATGATCAGATCCAGTATATCAAATTTAATTAGATATGGAAACTAACTGCAATATTATAAATTTAGGGTGGTATTCGGTTAAATCGGTTTTTTATATTTTAAATCTAAACATAACAAAACCAAATAAGGTTCGGTTCGGTTTACCGGTTAAACCGAATAAAATTTTGCACCTAAAAATAAATATTATGGTAAAAAAAAAACTTACTAAACAATTATCAAATAAAGAAAATACACTAATATATAACATATTATATTCAATCTTTCATGATATATTGTCTTGAAAACTCGATACACACACAAGTTTAAAATATAGTAAATATAGTTTTAGTCATATATGAAAGCTGAAAAAAATAACCAAAAGTTAATTGGCATTTGGTTAATTTGTTTTTACATTTTAATAAAAAATATAAAACAATTATAAATCTCTCTCTCTCTCTCTCTCTCTCTCTATATATATATATATATATATATATATATATTATATATATATATATATATATATATATATATATATATATATATATATATATATATAGATAACACGCTCGCGTTTCTGACTAAACATTATTATGATAATGTAATAGTTAGGGTCAACAATTTTAACCTATTTGACGTAATAAAGAAGAATTATGTGAATATTATGTATCCAATGATTATTATAATATAATATAATAGGAAAATCATCCGAATCGTGCGTAAATCGTAAAAATATGTGTGCCAAAACACACACACACACACACACACATATATATATATATATATATATATATATATATATATATATATATATATATATAAAATTAGAAAGTAAACGTCTTCCCGATCCCGAAAATATAAATTTCGTCGAAATCCGAATCCGTATAATTTAGATATGATTTTTTAAGATATAAAAAGTTAGCCGCGCACAAGGACTGTGTGACGTAAAAAGCTACGAAGAGAATGGTTGACTTTCAGCAAATGCGACCAAAAAGAAAATCGTTGTACTCCTTAAAATACGAATTTTGAGAAAAAGAATGTCAAATACGGAGTTCGTACTAGAGAGTTATGATTTTAGCAAAATCATTTAATTTTATAAAAATATCGACAAAAATATAAATTCAAAACTAGTCGATGGAGTCTAAACGAAAGTTGTAGATCTCGTCGATAGATGCCCGTAGATATAAAGAACGTCAAAAACGGAGTTCGTACGAACGAGTTATAATTTTTAATAGCACATTTACGTATTAAAATAGAGTATAAATCAGGGAAAGGTTGTTAGCTATGCTGACAAAAAGCGACGACCGATGACATTCGAAGTTGGAGACTCGGTATTGCTCAAAGTCTCACCATGGAAGGGACTTATAAGATTTGGAAAAAGATGAAAGTTGAGTCCAAGGTTTATTGGACCATTCAAAGTTCTTCAGAGGATTGAGAACCAAGCTTACAAGCTAGAACTACCAGAAGAATTAGATGGTATTCATAACACCTTTCATGTGTGTTATTTGAGGAAGTTCACGGGAGAAGTTCCCGATATAATTCCAATTTCGGAGTTAATGATGGATGAAAATAAGAGGTTAATTGAAGAGCCTGAAGCAATTGTTGACCGTAAGACAAAGAAGTTGCGACGAAATATGGTCGACTTGGTGCTTGTGCAATGGAAACATACGAATGGGCCGAACCTCACCTGGGAAACAGAGAGTGACATGATGAGCCGCTATCCACATCTGTTTGCTGATGCATGATTTCGAGACGGAATCATCCTAAGGGGGAGAGAATTGTAACGCCCGTGTTTCTGTCTAAGCATTATTATGATGATGTAATATTTAGGTTTAACAATTTTAACCTATTTGACTTAATAAAGAAGAATTATGTGAATATTATGTGTTTCATGATTATTATAATATAATAAAATAGGAAAAATCAGTCGAATCGTCCTTAAATCGTAAAAATAAGTGCGCCAAAACATATATATATTATTAAATATTTAGAAAGTGCACGTCTTCCCGATCCCGAAAATATAAATTTGGTCGAAATCTGAATCCGTATGAATTAGATATGATTTTTATAAGATATAAACAGTCAGCCGCGCACAAGGAATGTGTGACGTAAAAAGCTACGAAGAGAATGGTTGACTTTCAGTTAATGCGACCAAAAAGAAAATCGTAGTACTCCTTAAAATATAAATTTTGAGAAAAAGAATGTCAAAAACGGAGTTCGTACGAGAGAGTTATGATTTTAGCAAAATCATTTAATTTTATAAAAATATGGACAAAAATATAAATTCAAAACTAGCCGACGGAGTCTAAACGAAAGTTGTAGATCTCGTCGATAGATAAGCGTTGATATAAAGAATGTAAAAAACGGAGTTCATACGAACGAGTTATAATTTTTAATAGCACATTTACGTATTAAAATAAAGTATAAATCATTTATACGTATACATATATATACATATGTATATATCATTAGAAAGGTATTGACGATGCGGTCGTTATAAGACTAGTTTTAAGTACTTTCGATATTAGTTTAGCACAAATATCATTAAATCTATTTAAAATAGTATTATAAAGGGGTGTTTAGTCATTTAAGTAAAAATATAGAGGGTGGTTTTTGAAAATTCAATTACTATAAATAAGAGTCTCTAGGCTCTCATATTTCTTGCACCATTATCTTGATTCAAGAGTCATTCTCTTCTTATCCCCCGAGGATTTCGGTCCCTCGTGATTCGACTTCTATTTCTATAGTTTTTAGTATAGTAAGGTGAGCGCTGAAGCGCTGCAAGAATTTTTCTTAGAAAGATTTAGCGACAAAGTTCTGCCCCTGTAGAGCTCAACTCCTAGCTAAGTAAGTTATGCTACCCTACTTTAAATATAGCTTATAATATCGTTATTATGAACCTATAAATAAAATTTATTAGTGATTCAAACTCGTTATACTTATTGATCTACTTACGCAGATGATGTCTTGACTATGATTTAGTGAGGTGTTTGAAGTGGGATTTCCAAACAGTATACTTCGTATACCAAACGGACCCTACCTCCGATATGATCCTACCTGGTTGTTCCTTACTTGATAGATCATGAAGTAGAATAGAGGAATATAATCCATGTCTCAGTTCATATGATATCTAGAATGGAGGAATATATGATCACTTATCTAATGGACAAGTCATTGACAGAGGTCAGAGATCATCGGCAAGGTCATAGTTCGACGGAAGCTTTTGAGAGCTACGATTGTCAGTCGGTTCTTGAAGTCATACGCAATAATAGTTTTAGACTTATCCAAGTGGGAGACTGTTGGATTAATGTCTAAGTCCATAACTATAATTGGTAAGACTTGACCCGACCCGGCATGGTCCATTTGGGTTGCATGGCATCATGCATTTGGATAGACTATAATGAGAGAAATAACACTTAAGGTTTGTTAATATATTATAAGTTATAATATATTAATAAGATTATTTAATTAGTATTGATCAACAATTAATCTAGTATTAATTAAGTGATCAAAAGAAGACTAATTAAATATATGGGTTGATTGTGTAAATCATCCATACTTATATAGTGGGCTAATGCTCCATGGATTGTCAAGTTGGGCTAAACCCCAAAAGATGCTCCATGGTGTATTTGTACCCATGGATCATGGAAATGAAAGGCCATGACAATTAGGGTTTACATGGTGTAACCCTAACTATATAATGATCTTATTCTTGGAGAAAATCGGCGACTATGTGTGATAGAAAGGGCTAGCCGATTTGATGAAGTGTTCCAATTCTCTCAAGTTATTCCAAGTGTATTTGGTGTTGTGTGAACCATTTGAGGTGTCACACTTGGGGCACTAGGCACTCAAGCTTCATGAAGTCATTCTACATCAAAAGATGTATGTAATTCTAACTTGATATATTCATATGAATCAATGTTATTATGCTAGTTAGGATGAATACCTTGGAAAGTTCATATTTGCATGTATAATAGAGAAAACATAGATCCAAGGTATTTAGGGTTGCATGTACACTTAGGAGTGTTAGAATGCTCAAAACCCAACAGATAGATCATGAAGTAGACTTTGAGTTAATGATGAATCTAAACTAATAATTAGTCGCAATAAAGATTAGACTAAAACTTAGCGATAATAATGATAGGTTTCGTCGAAGGAAAATAAATAGAAGTGAACCGTTGTCTGAGTTCGGAATCACCACCTTAACAAGTGAGTGCATAGTTACTTTCATCTTACACATAGATATGAAGTATTTTATATAAATTACGTGCTACGTGTGCATATTATCTGAATACTTGATGTCTATGTTGGATGAACGTTTTTATACATGCTTTAAATGATTTAAACTGTATATGTATTTTATATCTACAAAGTGTGTTGGGTAAAACATGGGTAGATGTAATAGTTGGTTTGTGATGAAATAAAATGATGAGAGGCCTCGATGTCGATGTTGATCTAGTCATCTTACAGAGTATAGATGACGACCACGGACTCTTCTAGACAGTCTA